ACGTTCTTCTCTCCCAGAAGGGAGCCACATGACACTCACCATAACCAGGCTGCAGGAACCCACACCAGGCTGTTTCACTTGGGGTACCCCAGAGGGGGATGGGTGAGGCCCCTCTCTGTCCCAAAGGACCAAGCCCCAGCAGCCAAAATCCTCCAGAACCCAATTGCTGCCCTGATCACAGTCACTATCCACATGCTTAGGCTGAGCCTCACCCACAAGTGAACCTTTCCCTGGATCCCGAATCTGCATTCAAAGTCTCGAAGCATTTCATTGGACACACTTTACCCATAGTCCAAGAGTACCGCACCATATTTGATGGCATTCAAAGTAGGAGGCAACCAACCTTAAATGGAAATATTATATTATTCCAATTCTGTTTTGGGGCAGGAATTGGGGTTCATGATGGAAACACCCCAAATATGGTAGTAGGAAGGTGTAATGGTTGTGGGATTGGTGCTTGAATATTAAATGCAATCAAATATTGTGAACACTCTATAAAATAAAAAAATAATAAAAAAGAAAAAGAAAGTGCCAAATAATTTTTATCAGGTACACATAGCCTGATACCAAAAGTAGAGGGGTAGTCAGAAAAATAGCAAGAACAGATTCACAACTCTGATGAAGATATATGAAAGAATTCTCCACAAAATCTTAGTAGACTGAATCCAACAATACACTGAAAGAATCATAAATCATGAGTAAGTAGGATTCATTATAGGGATTCAAAAATGTACCAACATATGCAAATAAACTAGTGTAATACACCTCAACAATAAAAGATAAAGCCATATGATTACAATAATAAAAACAAAGCTTTTGATCCAAATCATTAATAAAAGTTTTTGATTAATGACAAAAGGAAATTTGTCAATAAAATGGGGATGGAAAGAGTATATCTTAACATAGTAAAGGTCAAATATTAGAAGCCCACTCACATAATATTCAATGGTTAAAAACATGAGAGTTTTTCCTCTAAAATCAGGCACAGTATAAGAATGTCACTCTCACCACTTTCTTTCAACATAATAGTAGAAGTCGTATAGAAACTAAAGAAATTAGGCAAGAAAAAGAGTAGAACTATCACTATTTGGATATGGCATGATAGTATCATCTAAAACCATAAAGCACATAAGAACATTGAGAAGCAATAGACAAATATTAAAATGGCAGGCGACAAAATCAACAAAAATTTGCTGCATTTCAATGTGCAAACAAACTACAGGTAAAAGAAATTTTAAAGATCCCATTTATAAATACGTTGAAAAGAATTACAGGATACATATCCTTTATAGCTTAGTGGTAAACTGTAAACTTTGGTTTGATCCCTGTTATCCCTACCTTTTTCACAAAATACTTAAATATCTAAGAATCAACTTAATTAAGGAAGTGAAAGTTTTGTACATTGAGAACTATAACTCTTTGGCTGCAGATCTTAGGGAACTGCACAGAGAAGGGTACATGGAATTTTGTCCAAGAATACTGACACTTGATAGTGGTGGCCACACTATAGCCCTAGATACTGATATAAAAATTTTATATAACCACAAAACAATGTTATCTCAATAAATTAAAAAACTTAATGGTTGTTGTATTGCTGTAGGTACTACAGTTTAGATTCATAGTAATTGCATTATATATTTCTGCTGTCCTTTGGTGTATATATGTTAATTAGTATAACATCGACCATATCCACACAATAACCAAGCTCACTGAGGGTTCTCGAGAGTTCAAGATGCTTCTCTGTCTAACGTTCATTGATTTAAAGAAGGCCTTTGATTCTGTTAAGATGGAAGCGGTCATCGAAGCCCTAGTCAATCAGGGCATTCAAACTCAATACATCAAGATCCTCTGTGAGCTGTATTATGGATTCACTACCAGGATCTACCATTCTACAAAGAAGTGATCATCGATGACAAGAGAGGGGTTCGGCAAGGTGATAGTATTTCACCTAAACTCTTCAGTGCCACCCTCGAGAAGATCATATGATGACTGGAGTGGGAAGAAATGGGAGTGAAGATAGATGGTCGGGAACTACACCACCTCCGCTTTGCTGACCGTTCTAATAACACCAACATCAGCCAAGTGGCACAAATGCTGACTGACTTCGACCATGAGTGTGGAAAGGTCGAATTACAGATAAATCTCACAAAGACAATGTTCATGAGAAACAGTCTTGTTCCTGACGTTCCATTCACTCTCAACGGAACAAACATCTCCGAATGCAACAGTATGTGTACCTAGGTCGAGAAGTCAACATGACGAATAACTTGGCACCTGAGTTGTGCAGGAGGAAGAGAGTGGCTTGGAATGCCTTCAAGAGTGTCAAAGAAATAACTAAGAGGATGAAGAACCTCCAGCTCCGAGTACATGTCTTCGATTCCACTGTTCCTCCTGCATTAACATGTGTCTCAGAGACCTGGGTCCTACGCAAACTGGATGAGAACGCTATTCGGGTCTCTCAAAGAGGAATTGAAAGAGCTATGCTTGGAGTATCATGCTTCACTCAAATGAGAGAAAGAATCTGGAGTTCCGACTTCAGTCAATGTTCAAGAATCAGGGACACTGTCTCGTTTGCCAAGGCATCTAAAATCAGATGGGCTGGACATGTAATGAGATTTAGAGATGATAGCTGGACTAGAGCCATTACCAACTGGATTCCATGGGATGTCAAAAGATCGCATGGATGCCCACCTATGAGATGGTCAGACTTCTTCGTCAAGACCCTGAATGATTGGTTTGAGGCTCTTCATGATCCTAGAACGAGCAGATGCCATTGGGCTACGCTAGCATGCAACAGGAATGAATGGAGACGTTCCTGCCCCTACTTGAGCAAATCGATGAGTAACGGGATATCAAGTGATCAAGTATAATATTGTCTTGTATGAAACCCTTAAGCATTATAGAATGACTTTATTTCTTATATATCATAGTTTAGGAAATATGTTTACAATAGTGTTAACGATTATGATTTTTATGTAACTCAGCATCACCAAAGTGATCCTCAGTTAATTGGCTCGTATTGCTTTTAGCTTATCCCCTTCTAAACTTTCCCACTCTCCACCTGCCTGAAAATTTCAGTTTTGCAATCCAAGACCAAAGATTTATAAGCATTTAGTACTGTCTATTCTCCTGTTTTATTTCTCTGTATACCATAGATGAGGAAGTTCACCCAATATTTGTTTTCCTTCCTCTTATTTTGCTTCACAGAATATTTTTCAGTTGCATCAAAGTTGCAGCAAAATGCAAGATTCCATCTTTTCTTGCATTTATAAAGTATTCCATTGTAGCCATTCATATTAATTGTAACTTCTCTATTTATTCATTCACTTTTTAGATATTTGAATTTTTACATATCCTGGCTATTGATTGTACTGGTGTTGCAATGAGAATATAAATGCATACATATTTTTGAATTAATGCTTTTGTATTTTGGGATAGATGCCAAGAAGTGTAATTGTTGATAATAAGGAAGATCGAGTCTTACTTTTGGAGAAAAATCTCCAGACTGTTTCCTATAAAGACTGAACCACAGAACATTCCCACCAATAGTTATTTTTTGCCACATCCCTGCCAACATGGTTTGTTCAGATGCTGATAAATGCCATTCTAACTGGTGTGGTATTATATCTATTTTATTGAGTTCTTTTTAAAATCATGAACAGATGTTCTACTTTATTAAAAGATTTTTTCCCAATTTTTATACATTTTATTTTCATAAAGTAGTTCACAATAGTTCATTACAGATAATATTCAAACACCCATCCGACCAGAAATCATCTTCTGACCACAATAAGAAGGAAGTGTGTAAAGGTTGTTGATTTCATTCTGAGGCACTTTAAGCCTGTATATAAGAGAATACAAGCAAGTATGTTAAAGCCAAACACATGTGTGCTGCTTTAAGTACATCAATGGGCTAGAGTATCAGCCTTGAGCTCCGGGAAAAACTGCATCACTCTCTTCTGGGAACTTTTTTTTATAGTCTCTGGACCTTGGCCGTTGGTGAGATTACATGGTGCTGGGGGCAGTTTGAGGACGTGGCTGCAAGCTACTGGAAAACTGGGGATCTGGGTGGAGGAGGCCCAGTCCCAATCTGAGCAGTCTTGGAGATCTCAGCCACAGGTCCCACATACCTGGGTTCCTCTGTTGGTTCCTTTATGGATGAGGCTTGTCTGAGCGTGTGGAGAGTGGACTTGAGTGTGGCTGAGGCTGGGTTCTGGAGGTTTCCAGCTGCCAGGGTTCTGCCAAGATTTCCTTAAATCAATTGGTATGATCACATGACTTTCATCTTTCCTTTCATTGATAAGATATATTACATTAATTGATTTTTTTTTGTGTCACACCCAGCAATGCACAGAGGTTACTCCTGGCTCTGCACTCAGGAATTACTCCTGGTGGTGCTGGGGGACAATATTGGATGCTGGGAATTGAACCCAGGTTGGCTGTGTGCAAGGAAAATGCCCTATCTGCTGTGTGATCACTCCAGCCCTACATTAATTGATTTACATATTAAAATCACTCCCACATCCCTGGGATGAATTCCACTTGATTGTGGTGTGTGATCTTTTATGAAATTTTATATTCGTTTTTCTAAGATTTTGTTGAGGATTTTGTGTTGATGTTCTTTAGGGAAGTTTTCCTGAAATCCTCTTTATTAGTGGTATCCATACCTGCTTCAAGTATTAGTGTAAAATTTGCTTCATAGAAGCTGTTAGGAAGAATTCATGTTTCTTCAATATTTTGGAAGATTTTGAGAAGTAAGTCTTCTTTGAAGATTTGCTAGAAGTCACAAGTGAGCCCATCTGGTAGGGAGTTTTGTCCTTGGAAAAGATTTTTAATTACCTTTGTCATTTCTTTGCATGTGAATGGTATTTAGAAAATTCGTGTTTTGATTGTTCATAAATAACTCTGATTTCCATAAGAGTAAAACACACACTGACCCATTCAGCACAATTATTTGTGGACCACAAAATTGCAAATCCCTGAGGTCAAGTTGGACTCACCCACTTTCAGTCTGCCTGTGACCTCCCCTTCAGAGTTCCGTGCATTGACCGTCACATTCTGAGTTGACTGCAGAAGGAGTGATGTGTCCTAGAAAGAGATTCACCCAATTAGGGATATATGTTACAAATGGCAATATCTTTTTCTTCATGTATTAGTTTAGGGTTTATATAAGATAATTTCTACGTAGTCACAAACTGTGGACTTATATGAAATAGATTTAGAATGCATAAAAAACAATTTCTTCACAGTCATAGATCATAGCTACAGTCCTATATATTGGTGACTAACATTATGTAAACATTTTGTGTATAATGGTAAGGGAGTAAATATATTAACTTCTTCCATAAAATATTCTTTTCTCATGGGTTTATGTTACCTATGTGCAGTTTTTACAATGTTGTTAAATTCGTTCCTAAAGGGAAAGATCTTAAGTTTTCACTGTGCACATCAATGAACGTTAGACAGAGCGCCATTTCAACTCCCGAAAAACCTCAATGAACTTGGTTATTGTGTGGATATGGTCGATTGTGCTGAATCCTTTTCGAAACCCCACTTGCTTGCATGGTTGTCCTTTATCTAGTGTTCTGACAATCCTATTCAGGATGACTCAAGTGAACAGCTTGTAGATAACGGACACCAGGCAGATCCGGCAATAGTTGCCAATGTCGTGGATGTCTTCCTTCTTGTACAGTAGAACAGTCCTGCTGGTTTTCCATTGGGATAGAACCTTGCATTCAGACAGGTAGTGTGTGAAGAGCCGAGCCTGTGTATTGATAAGTACTGATGGCAGATTCTTCAGGTGTTCGGGTCTGACCTTGTCTGGGCCGGGTGCTGTTCACTTCTTTACTGATGAAATGGCTTGTCGGATTTTGGAAGGGAGAACATTGGGAAAGATATATCCATCCTGTGGAATTTGGTATGTGAGCAAGTGGACATGGCTATCAATGAGATCCGAGTAGAAGTCATGGATAATGTTCTCCATTGCCCTTATGGAAGATGTGATAGATCCATCAGGATATTGGAGGGCAGTCATCTTGGTCTTGTAGTTGGCGAAGGACAGGCAGGAGTTGCAAATGCTTTTCCCATCTTCTGTCGCATCAGCCAGCACTACTCTCTCTTTAAGGTCTTCCTTTATCACTTACTTCTCTGCACTGCTTTGCGAGCTTGGACATTAGCTTGTAGTTGCCTGAGGCTTGCGCCCAGCCACGTTGGCCAATGAGCTCGAGAGTTTTTGAAGACAGGCGTCTTTTTGTGGCTTTCTCTCTCGATGTTCCTCACACAATCATGGAGGTGCTGAACCAGTTGATCGCATTCTTTGTCAATGTTATCAATGATGGAGTATTTAAACAAGCTTTTAAATTATGCCGACCTGAGTTTGATTCCTCCATCCCTCTTGGAGATCCTGGCAAGCTACTGAGAGTAGTAGAGTCACACAGAAGAGCCTGGCAAGCTCCCCGTGGTGTATTCAATATGCCAAAAATAGTAACAAGTCTCACAATGGAGATGTTACTGGTACCCACTCGAGCAAATGGATGAACAACAGGAGGACAGTACTTTAAATTATGCAATGAGAGGTTAACTATATTCTCTATTATTTCTGTCTTATACTACTTATACAAATTTTACAATTTTGATGTTCTAAGAAAAGCTACTTATAATAGCTTTATCTCTGAAATTTTTAAGTGTGTTTTTTTGAGTCACTTTTAGATAGACTATTTTTATAGGGTTGGATGTTATTTTTATTGGTAATATTTAATTTAGTATCTCTATTTAAATAAGTTAGCAAAATTTATTTTAATTCAAAAAGTATTTTGAGAAAATTTATATGCTATTTTGATACAGGTTGAAGCGATAGCACAGTGGGTAGGGCATTTGCCTTGCATGGGGCCAAACCGGGTTCGATTCCTCCGTCCTTCTCGGAGAGCCCAGCAAGCTACTGAGAGTATCCCGCCCACATGGCAGAGCCTGGCAAGCTCCCCATGGCATATTCGATATGCCAAAAACAGTATCAACAAGTCTCACAATGGAGATGTTACTGGTGCCCATTCAAGCAAATCAAAAAACGGGAGGGCAGTGCTACAGTGCTATTGTGATTCAATGTAGTTTTGGCCCAGTTTTTCCCAGAGATAAACTTTTTTAGGTGAAATTTTCCTCATGTGGATTGAAACTTCAGCTCAGGCTTTCTGTGTGTGTATATTTTAATTTTGGCACATCTCTAGGATGGAAATCTAGTAGAAGATTTTATATTTGATGAGGACTTTGGGGATATTGAAAATCACATTCTTCATGTAAGAAATGCACCTTCTCCTGCTGTTACTTCTTCCCTTGCAATTTATGAAATGATCGCAGATGAAGTACAACTAAGATTTAAAATTTTAGCATTATTTCTGTAAAGATATTGGGGGTTTTCAGTCTTATAATGGTGTTTCAAGTCTATTGTCTTTAGTGTTTGTTGAGCCCTGGTATGAATCTTTTTATCCCTGAAATTGCTCTCAGTGATATCAAAAGAGGTACAGCTGGAATAAGAGCCCAATCTTTGGATAAAAATGGAAATCTAGTAGAAGATTTTATATTTGATGAGGATTTAGGTATATTGGAAATCATATTCTTCATGTAAGAAATGCACCTTCTCCTGCTGCTACTTCTTCCCTTGCAATTTATGAAATGATCGCAGATGAAGTACAACTACGATTTAAATTGTAAATAATGAAAAGAGCTAAGATTGGGCCGGAGCAATAGCATAGCGGGTAGGGCATTTGCCTTGCACGTGGCCGACCCAGGTTCGATTCCTCTGCCCCTCTTGGAGAGGCTGGCAAGATACCGAGAGCATTCCGCCTGCACAGCAAAGCCTGGCAAGCTACCCGTGACATAGTTGGTATGCCAACAATTATAACAACAAGTCTCACAATGGAGATGTTACTGGTGCCCACTCGAGCAAATTGATGAACAATGGGAGGACAGTGCTACAGTGCTTGGTTTGGGTCTTTGCACAGTAGTGCTCAAAGACTAACTCCTGGCTCTGTGCTGAGGGATCACTCCTGGGGGTATTTTAGGGGACTACGGTGGGGCGGGGGGAGGAATCACATCAGGGATCAACCACATGTGAGGCAAGTGTCCTACCCATTGAACTACCTCTCTGACCTTGGTATGACATCTTTCGTCTTTATGTATCTACAGATACGTAACAACGTAACTTGATTCAAGCCTGGTTAGTAGATGAAACTTTCCTGTCTTTTGTTGTTATCTCATGCAGTGGGGCTAAGCTTAAATCCATTCAAGTAGACACCTTATTGGCCTTTGTTTCATTCCAGAACTTACAGGATTTTGCCTGTAAGCTACCCTTCACACTTTTGAAGGCTGTGAAATTTGATAGCAATCATCTTTAGTAAAGCTATACAACTGTTTGTGTTCCTATTTCATTTCATTTTGGTTTTGGAGTCTTACCCAGTGGGGATCAGGAGACACTCCCAGCTTGATCTTTTGGAGTAGTTCTGGCAGTGCCTGAGAGACCATGCTGTTTGGATCAACACCAAACCTCCTGCATACAAAGCATATGCTCCAGCAACCTCCTCGCCCTCATTTTATTTAGGTTAACAGTGCGTTTTAGAAGATGACCTTTATGTTTTGATCAGATATCACCATATATCAAAGTTGAGCAGGTAGATGGACGGGTTTAAATTATGAATTGAAGGCATAGTCGTGATAGAATTTTATATATTCACTTTGAAAACTAGAAGTCAAGTACCATGTTAAATTATATTAATAATGAATTCTCTCAGTCTAGCAATATAAATGAGTTGTGTGAAACTTTGTAGATTCATAAATCAATTCTGTATAAAATTCATTTAAAGTCATCTTTGAAAGAAAAGACAGTTATGAGAGTAATAATTTTTCAATGAATCCCATTATTTTTGAAAGTCATATTAGTTACAAAATAATTTAATGCTGTTATAATGTAAATTATTCTAAACATTTCTATAATTTTTTATATTGACTTATGTGCCATTAATGTAATATTATGAGAGTTTTATACATGTATCTAAAATATTTTGTAAAATTTTTACCCCTGGTTTTAAATAAAAACTGTATTGAAGATGAGAAATTATGATAACTTAAAAATATTAATGCTTCTATGATCTAATCACTGATTTCAATCACCATGCTTTTCTACTAATATTACTCCCTAAAAGTATATTAGAGAATGAGCTAACATAACTCGGGGAGAGTGTAGAAAAGATTAAGTTCTAATATTTAAATTCTTTATTCATATTTGATTTACTTTTTATTAGAGCTTGTATTAACCCCCCTTGTTCCATATGGCAGGGATATTTAATAAACTGAAATACCCTAATGTAACTTATTAGTCAATATGTTCAATAACTCAGGTTCATATAGATATTAGCCTATAATAATGCAGGTTAGATTTTTGCTCCAACTGTTGACTGAGATATTCTCAGAAGTAACATTGTAGTGCTTAGTAATTACCTGGGCTTCCTTAGGATATTTTTTCTGCATTCTATTTCTAAGTTGCATGATGCACACTTTTATCATTGGGAGTAAAATTTGATAACTGTTCATGTGTCTACTTTAGGAGTGTAATTTCCCTTTTATAAGACTGTGTTTCTCAGTGGTTGGCCTTTGTCTCCTTTCTGATACCCTGATAGTGGCTGGTACTTTGTATGCTTGTAGGAGATGCTAACATATCCTTTCATATCCAGAAAAAAAAATAGTACATTGGAATGTACTTATCATGTAACTTTTAAGATTTAATTGGATGAAGCTTTAACATTTTATTTAGATAATGCCACATAATATCTAGCAAAAATAATTCTCTCTACTCTGAGGTTCATAGCATAACATAAGAAAAATGTAACATTCTACAATACTTACATGTTTGGCTCCACTGGTTTTAAATTTTATAAAGATAATATTGAGTTAGGGTTTTATTTAGATTTTTAAAATTTGTAATTTCAATATGAAAAATTTTTACAAGAGTGAAAAAATTTTTATATTTTAGGAGCATAATATTGCTATATCACTCCACCATCAAAGTGTCTGTGACTCCTCACACTGATGACTTTTTCTCCTCACTTCCTGCCTCATTCCGTGGTAATCTAGGTTCTATTGTCAGAATCTGTAGACTTGTTTTCATCAGACATTGCATATATATGGCACAATTTCTTTAGTCACTATCTATAATTGAACATTAGGTTGTTTTCAGGTTTTTTGGCTCTTATAAATAGCATTGTGATGAGTAAAGATATGTATATTTTTTAATTAGTTTTTTATGTTTTTTGGATAGATACGTAGGTATCAAACTGCTGGATCAGATGGTGGTGCTATTTTCAATTGTTGGCAAAATTTATATACTTTATAGAGGCTAAACTAGATTACATTCCCACCCTCAGAGAAAGAGGCTTCCTTTTTCTCCACATTCCATCAACTCTTTTAAAAATAAAAATATAGAGCATTCTCATTTATATGACTGATCTCATTTTTTTTTATTTCTCTGATAATCAGAGATGATGAGCATTTTTTTTCTATGAGTCTGTTGGCCTCTACATATGTCTATATATATTGGAGGCAGATTTACTTTCAAACCCACACAATTATTTAGTAATGATATTTAACTTTTCAGGGAGAGCTCCTACAGAATAATCACTTGATCACCTGATCATTTGACTTCCCGCTAATCATTGATTTGCTCGAGCAGGCTCCAGTAACGTTTCCATTTGTCCCTGTCGCGTGCTAGTGTAGCCCGATGGCGTCTGTTCGTTCTAGGAACACGAAGAGCCTCAAACCGATTGTTCAGGGTCTTGACAAAGAAGTCTGACCATCTGGTAGGTGGGCGGCCATGCAGTTTTTTGATGTCCCGTAGAATCCAGTCGGTAATGGCTCTAGTTCAGCGGTCGTCTCCAAATCGAATTACGTGTCCAGCCCATCTGATTTTTGATGCCTTGGCAAACAAGACAGCGTTTATTGATTCTTGATCATTGACGGAGGTCTGAACTCCGGATTCTTTCTCTCATTTGGGTGAAACGTGATACTCCAAGCATAGCTCTTTTGATTCCTCTTTGAGAGACCCGAATAGCATTCTCATCCTGTTTGCATAAGGCCCAGGTCTCTGAGACATATGTTAATACAGGAAGAACAGTGGAATCAAAGAGATGTGCTTGGAGCCGGAGGTTCTTCATCCTCTTAGCTATTTCTTCAACGCTCTTGAAGGTGCTCCAAGCTGCTCTCTTCCTCCTGCGCAACTCAGGTGCCAGGTCATTTGTCATGTTAAATTCTTGACCTAGGTACACATAACTGTTGCATTCGGAGATGATCGTTTCATTGAGAGCGAATGGAACGTCAGGAATGAGGCTGTTTCTCATAAACATTATCTTTGTAGCTGAAACCAGTAATTACAATGGGTCTCATTCCCCTGACCCTGAAGGCATCACCTACAGAATAATACTACTATGTAATCACTGTAATTAGTATATTCAATACAAAACATCAAATGAAACTAATTTTTTCCCAAGCTTCTCAGAAATTTTAAAAGATCTCAAAGTAAGTATATTTAAAAAATATATATGTACTATTAAAAAGAAGCCTGGGTTATTTTTTATATTGCTAATGTTTATTATAGACTAAATTGCTGAGGTCACCAATTAAAGCACAGGAAAACAAAGCTAGTTAGAATGCAATAGAGATAGAGATAAGTTTTACAACCTAATAGCCAAGTTTTTCCTAAAGAGTGTATGATGGACAGATGCACACATAAAGCTAAGACATTGTTTCTGAAACATTGAATTTATCGATTCAACTATTACATATTATTCACAATACACAATGTAAATATTTTATCACCTTCTTACCATTCTGGAGTGTATTTCTTTAGCATACAGTGGGAATAAAAATTCGGATTCGCCTTCCAAGCGAAGTCCATCTTTTGTAACACGTAAGTGGCCCATTCCAGTCTGTGAAAAAAAAAGAGAAATTAATTGTTTTGTTGCTTTCCTTTTTTATTTTTAATGGATAGGCTTAAATTATATATGTATGATTTGCTATCATCACTCTTTTCACTTTCTCCTTAAAAGTCTATGTCAAACTTTAATTCTTTTTTGCCAAAGTTTTATTAAATTTTATAAGAAAACAATGTTTGCTTTATTTAGAAAATGCATATGATTTTAAGAATAATTTCATTTAAAAACACGTAGGAGCCTACATGTAAGAAATAAAACCTACCATGTTAAGGAAAAAAATTTTGATTACTATTTTTAAAATATTTAAGTAAAAATGAAAGAAGTGGTTTCTGGAGGTGAACAATATATACACCATTCACCTTTGGAACTTTTTGTATCTTTCCACACTAAAATTCTGTGACATGTAGATAATCACTCTCCGTTTCCTTGCTTCCAAACCTTGCACTCACTATTCTACTGGCTATGTGTATGAGTTTATATTATCAGCAGTTTATATAAATGGAATCATATAAAATAAATTTTTCTTTTATGCACTTCTAAAGAAACTCAAGCTATAATAAAAAAAGAAAATGTACTGAATGGTAGAAAATATTTGCATACAATATATCAAGTGTTGGTTGGTATCCAAGATCTATAAATCACTTATAAAACTACAACCATAAAACCTAACTACTCTATCCACAAATGGGGCAAGGAGATGAACAGATATTTTCCCAAAGAAGCCATATGGATGACCAACAGGCGTGTGAAAAAGTGCTTATCATTACTCATGAATAGGAAAATGCAAATAAAAAAATGAGATATAATTTTGTGCAAATGAGAACAGTACATATAAAAAATCTGGAAATAGCCATTGTTGGTGATATTGTCATGAGAAAGGATCCTATTGTTGATATAATTGTCATCTGGGTCAGTCTCTATGGAGAGATAGGAATATAAGTCCCAACAATACCACTTCTTGGCATCTATCCCCGAAATACAATACCATCAGCTCGAAAGGATATGTGCACACCTATGTTCACAGCACTTAGTACAATAGTCAAAATACAGAAACAACCCAAATGCCCAACTACGGATGAATGGATCAAAAAGATGATATATAAAAAAGAAGATGTGGTATATATACACAAAGGAATATTCCACAGCTCAAAGAACAAACGTAATTTATAGCAACTGGATAGAGGATATTGTGTTGAGTAAAGTCATCACAAAGAAAGGGACAGATCCAGAGCAAGGTAGCAACAAAGAGCTAAAGGCAACAGAACTGGAGAACTGATTCACGTAATTGAGTTGATTGGGGGTTAAAGGGAGAGATGTTAGGGTTCTTGGGAAAGGAACGTGGGTACACGTGTTGGAATGGATGTGGTGTTGGAATTGTGTGCACCAGAAACCATCATTAACAATATAATAAATAGCAGAATATAAATAAAATCTTTATAATACTTTGTTCTAGTTTATTTGCCTTTGAATATGTATTTTGGAAATATTTTGTTAAATATACAAAATTTGCTAGGATGTTTTTGGCATTGAGTTTAATATAATATCAATTTGGGAAGAATTGACATACTAATTTATTCGAATTTCCAATGCTTGAATATTTCTCTTTTTTTATTTGCCACACCGGGCAATGGTCAGTGCTTTCTCTGCACTCCTGGTGAGCTTGGGAGATCACGTGGGGTGCCAGGGATCAAACTCGAGTTGGTCCATGTGCAAGGTAAGTGCACTACCCATTGTACTATCTCTCCAGTCTTCATTTCTTAATTAAAAAATTCTCATTGTTTTATAGTTCTTAGCACACAGTTGGGCTGCAGCGATAGCACAGCAGGTAGGGCGTTTGCCTTGCACGCAGCCAACATGGCCAACCCGAGTTTGATTCCTCTACCCTTCTTGGAGAGCCTGGCAAACTACTGAGAGTATCTCGCCTGCACGGCAAAGCCTGGCAAGTTACCCATGATATATTCGATATGCCAAAAACAGTAACAACAAGTCTCACAATTTGTTGTGAGACGTTACTGGTGCCCGCTCGAGCAAATTGATGAACAATGGGAGGACAGTGCTACAGTGCTACAGCACACAATTTGTTTCCATATTTGGAAGCATGGGCACACCAGGCAGTTCTCAGAATTTAACCCTAGCTTTGTGCTCAGGGATCACTCAAGACACAGGTGGGAGACCATGTGGAGTGCAGTACGGGGGATCAAACCCTGCCTGAATGCATGCAAGGTAAGTACCTTGTCTGTTATACTATCATTCTGGCCAAAGGGGATTATTTCCTTAATTTCCATTTCTCTAATTCATTGCTTAGATATTGAAATCAAAGACTTATGTGTATCTATTTTGTATATGTCCACTTTACTAACCTCAATTATTTCTAGTACTTTTTTGGTACAGTCCTTGAGGTACCAAAATAATATCTATGTATATTATTTTGTCTTCTGATAATTAGTAATAGTTTTACTTCTTTTTCAATTTGAATTGCCGTTACCTTTTATTGCCTAATTCATCTAGCTAAGACTTCCAAAACTTTATTAAAAAATGTTGATAAAAGTGTACATTCTCACCTAGTTCCAGATTTCTCATATCACTGTTGGTTTTATTTATTTTGGGGGAAAAGGATTTGGTTACGGCCTGGGTTGGCACCACATTCCCCCAAGCACTGCCAAGAATGATTCCCTGAGCACAGAGCCACAAGTAATCCCTAATAACTGATACGATGCTGTGGTTGGGCTTAAAGAAATATGCAGACTACTGGCTCCTACCCCACAAGGTTTCTCTGACATAAAAGTATATACTGTAATAGATACAATATAGTGTAGACCAATTCAAGAATGGGCTTGATCCAAGTGTATTAGAGAATTTGTACAATGCTTCTGAGACATTACAGGATTTTAACAGGACCAAGAGAGACAGTTAAGCAAGACTTAACTCCATCTCTTACAGTTTTAGATTATTTAATGGAATGTCAATGATGAAACTCAGCATAGAGAAACATGTTCACCATTCCAACAGTTAACTCAAGATATAAAAGTAATATCCATCAACAAATGTATCTCTATTTTAGAGATTACATCTGACCATCTATAAAGTTATGTTATTCCATATTTTGGGAAAATAAAATAATTGAAATTGGACTGACTTCAATGTTTAACAGCTGTATACAGTTTCAATAATATGGCCATATAACATTGGTGAAAAATGTGTTTCAGTTGTAGTTGTAACTCCCTGCTCATGTTGCTATTATCTACAAAACCTCCTTGGAAATCCAAAGTTCACCTTTGGAGAATGTTGAGTTTTGTTTTAGTGTGATTTTTCTACGTTGCTTTTGTAATCAAAAGTTTAACAGTTTTATGGGTACTTTCATTTTATGCTAAAAATAGAGTAAAGGAAAGAAAAACTTTAAACAAATTATTTCAAAACTTTTCGCCATGCTTAAATCAATACAAATAAACACAATCATACTTTTGTGTGTATGATTGTGAAAATAATATATTATTATTTTCAAAATAATATATATTGAAAATATATTGGGCTGGAGCGATAGCACAGTGGTAGGGCATTTGCCTTGCGTGCAGTCACCCCAGCTGAGCCGGATTCGATTCCTTCACCCCTCTCAAAGAGCCCGCAAGCTACAGAGAGTATCTCGCCCACACGGCAAAGCCTGGCAAGCTACCCGTGACGTATTCAATATGCCAAAGACAGTAACAAGTCTCACAATGTTACTGGGCCCGCTCAAGCAAATTGATGAACAACAGAAGGACAGTGACAGTGACAGAAAGTATATTATCAGAATATCTGAAAATATATTGCTTGAGCGCAGTAACGTCTCCATTTTGAGACTTGTTGTAACTGTATTTGGCATATTGAATACTTCATGGGTAGCTTGCCAGGCTTTGCCACGCCCGTTAGATACTCTCAGTAGCTTGGCGAGCTCCGCAAGAGGGGCAGAGGAATCGAACCTGGCTTGGCCAGGCTGGCTGCGCGCAAGGCAAATGCCCTACCACTGTGCTATCTCAAGCTTATCAGAAAATAATAAATTAAATGTAGTTCTAATTTACAATATTATTATAGTTTGAACTCCAAGGTAGTATTCTTTGCATTATACTACACTAGTTATAAAGTAGGATTTTTCTTTAGACAGATGAAACAGATTAGTGGATCAGAATAAATTTTACAATTAGAACATGCTTTTGTTAGAATTTGTGATAAAAATACGCTACAAAGATCCTTGACTGTATATTAGTAGAAAAGAGAATCACGTAGACTCATGTACATCTGGAACACCTTTTTTATTATGATAATAGCCTACAAAAGAGGAATCTGGGTTAGATTTCTAGTTTAAGATGACAAATATTACTTGACACTGTAAGAGCTCTAGCCTAAAACACTATGCAATTATTATGCTTTATTGCTAAATTATTAAAGTATGTTTAAATAATTCATAGAAAAGTTAAAGTAAGAAGGAAAACTGAAGGACTATCCATGATATGAAAGCTAAAATTACTGTGCTATCTGCATTTCTAGACACCGGTAATAATAGGATTTGTATCATTGAACCAGGGATAATGAACACCCTCTCTACCCAAGGTTTATCTTTCTTCTTCAAACTCAGGTTTAATAATACATTATCTTAAAAAGAAAATATTAAATTGGTACATATTCTTACTGTAACCCCTGGGTTAATTTTACTTCATTATGAGTAGCATATAAACCAGAAATTTCAATTAGGGTTTTACTGAAAATCAAAAAAAAAAGAATTACTGATCTAATTCTTTCCAGAAGAATACAAATAATACTAAGAGATTGATTCAAAGTTTCTGGGTTATCATATTTTTTATCATACAGTTTCAATTAGTTTGCAAAATGAATAGAGAGGATCAGCAGATAGAATAAGGAATCCTGCCATCTTAATCATATTTTATTGACAAGAAGCAAATCAAAGTCTTAGGCACAATCAAGGAGGATGGAAGACACAAGATTTAATGTGGAGTCCTTAT